CAGGGCTCCTGGGCTTCCCTTGCTATTCTCTTTCCCTTATACCTCCCTTCTTTCAAACCCCCCCCCCCCCAAGCCTGGTTGTATAGGGCTCTAGTAGGAGCTGCAGCAGCAGAATAGCAGGAAAGAGGAAGGGAGATAACACTACTGCTGCTATGCTATGCCACTTCCACTGCTGCTCTCAAGTCAGCCATCACCTCAGGATGCAGCAGTGTCCCGCCCACCCACCTCCCCAACATCCTTCTCTGTTTCCTCTCAGTCAGGGAAGGGGCAGCAAGCAGAAAGCCTCAGGCACACAGTGGTGGTGGTGGGGAAGACCCTCTTCCCTTTCTCCTTCCTACCTCAACTGGCACAGCAGGAAGTATGGGGGGAAGGGCTTGGTGCCTGAGCTCCGTCCCCATGAGAGGTTTGCCTTGGGGTCAGAAAGCTCTCCTTGCACTTTTTCATTCTGTTTCCTCTTCAAGGACGCAGCATATCGTTCAGATGCTGATGCTACAGATCATACCACTAAACAGAGAACAAGAAAAAAGTAGAAGTACACAAACACAAATTGGTATGGTTAGTTTCTCAAAAGTCCAGCTTCTGCTACTTTGGTAGAACTATTTCCTAGTCTGCCATATTTTTCCTACAGATTTTTTTTTAAGGAAACAAAATATTTTTCAGACTAGTTGGAGGCTGTTGGAAAATATATGATTTTCAACCATGTACAAGGCAGCTGAAGGGTCTCTTCTAGATCTGTAGATGTTTCCAAAAGCCTGGATGCTTACAGAAGTGCCCGGCTTTTCATGGAAGGACTTCTTCACTTCTCCATGCATCCTGGAATGCCCATGTGACAATTGTTGCTTTTAAGGGAAGTAAAAAAACTAAACACAAAATAATAAATGGATTCAGCTTACGGGTAGCATTCATCTCATCATGAATTCTTGGGATGGCAAAATTCCCAGATCTCCTCAGAGATTCATTTCAGGAATTCATTTCCATCCCTCTTTATAATACTCTCTTAAACATGTGACAATTGTTGCTTTTAAGGGAAGTAAAAAAACTAAACACAAAATAATAAATGGATTCAGCTTACGGGTAGCATTCATCTCATCATGAATTCTTGGGATGGCAAAATTCCCAGATCTCCTCAGAGATTCATTTCAGGAATTCATTTCCATCCCTCTTTATAATACTCTCTTAAACATGTATAAAGGAGAGACACAATTTAAATTAATTACATTTAGCTTTCACACATTTCAGTGGAAGCTAAATATATATTTAAAACACTCTCACTGAACCCAATGAGATTTAGAAGTACTGTATGTAGATATTAGGTATTTTTACCCACCTGCATGTTTGGATTGTATGAGGGAGGGAGGCTTTGCCGTGATGAATCTTTGAATGAAACACCTCCTTCAAGCTGCTTCATTCATTTTTCAGGGGAAAGCAAAGTTGCTTGGTTTTATTTATTTATTTAATGCTGCCCATCTCACTATACAAGTTTTGCTCTGCTTCAGGGCCCCTCTTACACTTCTCCCACAGGACCTCAGAAAGCTGAGCAGGATCCAAAGGCAAGGGCTGCAGGGGATGAGCCACTTAAAACCAGCTTATCTTCCATGCTCTATGGCTCCAGCATGTGCTTCAGGCAATCTGGCAGTGGGTGATGAAGGTGCCCAGACTAGTGCCCCTCTCAGAACATGCCAAAGTTCTTTTAGGCTTGGTGGTTTTAGCAAGGAATGTGAGGACTATCCACAATGATGCCAGAGCCTCATAGCAGGAAGCCTCCTTTCTCCAAACCAGGCAACCACAGGGTGCACTGTAGGGAACCCCAAAATTGCTCAGCCTGGAACCATGAGAACCTTCTCCTCCTGTGTTTGGCTTGAGGTTGTTCAACACCCCCCCCCCAATTGTTTTATTGTGGTAAATCATGTGGCCTCTTCCCTTTGGTGGAAGTGCATGGACACTGCAGCCTGAATTGTTTCATCAAAGTGACTGTCAATCGCTTCACACAGGGCTGCTACATTTGAAATTTTTGCAAGCTCTTTAGAGATGTGAACAGAAATTAGGGCCCATCATAAGGCCACACCAGAAAGGATTCAAAAGCCAAAATGCCATAAATAAATAAATAAAATTTAAAACTTTGGCTGGGGGCGGGGGGGAGAGCAAATATCAGTATATCTGCTATTAAAAGAATCTTCCAACCCCTGGGCTGCTTTCTCTTGCTTCTGACTTTTTGGGGGCTGTTATCTATGGCTCAGCTTTCACAGCTAGAAGACCCTGTCTCCTCCGATCAAATGCTGTGTTTCCACCAGCTGGCAGAGGAGTGGTCTTTTCCTGTTGTCAGCAAGGAAATGCAGGGTGGTAATACTCTTTGGAGGTTAATATGCTTTCATTTTGCCAGCCTATTTATAAAACTGACGCTGTGCATGCTTACTGTGATTTCACTGGGGTGGGAAGTATTTCTTTAAAACAAAAATCTGATAAGTAAATGCAGCTTCAGTTAGTAATTCACGACGCCTTTTGTCTTTAGTTATGCAAGAATAAGCCTATAAACCTGAAGAAGCCAGCATTCTCTTTGATTCAATTAAAAGCATCCATACACCTACCTCGTACTTCATTTTCTGGGAAAAAATGACAGAAGATATTTGCATTAATGATTCCATTTATCATACAAACCCAAAGCCGCTTGCTCATCAGAGCCTTTATTTCCGCTGCACCATCAAACTCAGGGGATCTTCTTCGACTCAAAGCCACATGGCAAAGAACGGTATGTAATGCAGCAACAGAGACTGAGCTCACAAAACAGTGATGTGCTTTCACAATGAGAGTCATTTTATATGTAATATACAATATGTAATTACAATGGTTCCAAATGAGGATGACTCAGATGTTCCAGTAATCTTTCCTGTTGGTGGTGTGTAGAACGTAATTCTAGTCATTTTTTCCTATGACTTTGGACTTTAGAAACAATAATTAGCAGAGTCAGCATGTTATTAACTTTGTCAGTAACCTTTTCCTTACCCGGCATCTAATGTGTTTGGACACAGATAGAAAACAGTCCTGAAAGTTTGCTTCTGTTTTCCAGATGATGTGAAACATTATAAAGTGCATATGTCTCAAATGCTGGTGCAGAATAGTTGGTTTAAGTACATTGCGTGCTATCCTCTTTTAATCTGCTGGTTTTTCAATAGCCAAATGATGAACTTTTCCTCTTTTTATCTACAGAAAGCGGGAAATATTAAATATATACTTATTAAATACTTATTAATGGTAATTAAAGTACATAATATATATTAAATAGCTTGATATTCAATCCATAGCATTAAATATTAATGATCATTAGTGATATAATTTAACATTTCTTTCTCTTCTGGCTTCACCTACTTGTTGGTTGTTAACCCAGGCATTCCACCTGAAGGTCACGTTTGAGCAGCTGTTGGCCCAGAAAAGATTGTGTTTCCCTGATATAGTGTAGAACAGGCTATAAGCTTTTCTTAATTTGAAGAAGAGCAATGGAAAATACCAGCATATTTTCCATTCCAGAGCAAACTTGTGAGATTGTAAAGACAGTATCTTTGAGAACGTGCAGAGTATACTCCCTTAGCACACTGCAACCATATGCGGTGTCCATGATAAAAGTTAGGAGGGTACAGATGAGTGGAAGAAAACACTGAATCTAAGATAGGATAAGCACTTGGAGAATTTGGTCTATTTAACCTGGATTAATATAGGAAGCAGAGGGTCAGATTTGCATTATCCTGATTTGATTTAAAAAATATATCTGCAAGCATGGTTAATTAATCTGATGAAATAGATTGATAGGTAGAAATAGATTTAGAATTTGAATGGATTCACATACATTTTTTCCAGGACCAACGACTGAGTTTATCACTGACTTTGCATGTTGATCTCAACAGGTGTTCCAGTTCAACATATCTTGAAATATATTTTAAATACTTGCTGGATTTGAATTCAGACTTTTTGTGACTATGAATAAAAATCTCAGTTACCCTAGTGACAGTCCTGATGTTGTTGCTATGGCACCAACCATGGATAAGATGGAAACATCAGCAGACTTGGAGAAACCACAAGATTTGCAGATGTACAAAGACATCTTTAGAGAAAAACCTTAAATGGTAGGGAAGCCACAGATATAGCCCAGGGAAGACTGAGTATACTCAGTGGACACCAAATGTTAAAAACTGCTTGGGGAGGAAAAAGAAAACCAGATGGAGAGACAGACTAGACCATGGTTCCTCAGCCTTGGCAACTTTGAGACGGGTGGACTTCAACTCCCAGAATTCCCCAGCCACCAAGGCTGGCTGGGGAATTTTC